CTCTCTCTCTCTCTCTCTCTCTCTCTCTCTCTCTCTCTCTCTCTCTCTCTCTCTTTCTCTATCTATCTATCTATCCTTCCATATAGCCTTGCAATGTCCGTCGCTCGCCCCTATTTCGAAGCACCGTGTGGTGGCTCGGAATTAACCCGACCGGTGCGGCGCTCGCGTGCGTCGAGGCGTAAAACGAAGCGCCGCCGCGGCGTTTCGACGTCGATGGCCTTTCGCCTGCGAGATGTTACCCCTATTCGATTACGTTCTTCCCCGCCGCGCCTTCCCTGCCAGTCGGCGGCCTCGGTCCTGTTCCTGCGCTGTGCCCGGAGAAGAGAACCCGGCTACCTAACCTATCCGGGCATTAATGCGAGGTCAGGTTGTTTAAGTTAGCGACGCGCGACGATCTACGCGACGCTCCGTCGAGTTTTGATTAAAAGAAAACAGCAACGATTGGCGATCCAGTTAGCCCGAATGCTTTCGCGACCTCTGCGCTATTTAGCGCGTGTTTATTCGACGAACCGGGCTAGTCCGTCGCAATGCTACTCTACAGCTCCGACCGATTAATTTCCTTCGATTGGCAATCCAAGTTTCACGAATCTTGGATGCGTCCGCAATGACCGCAGATATATGGGAGAAACGGCTGACAAGTGAGATAGAGTGAACTGAAGGAAAGTCCATCGCGTCAGAGGGATTCAGGATAAGTGTTATGAAACTATTCGAAAAAGGTTGCAGAATTATTCAATTTTCCCTGAAAAATTCAACAAAGACCTAGGAAATAATTGAGAATGATTCCGATCGGAAACTTTGCGAATAGTTTCATGATATCTTCTCGATTTGTCTCCTCTCGCGAAGAACGCGTGGACTTTTTCCAAAAATCGCACCCAGTTGCATAGAAAGAATATTATAGTTTATTTTTTTCATATAAATCCTTGTCAATTGTACTATGCTTCTAATAATACCGAGATATAGGCTGTCAGTAAGGTCTATGTTTTGTTAAGGATTATTATAAAAAATGTCGATCTATATTATTCTAATTATAAAATTCTATAGCGATTTTCACTACAAAATTCTCTTCAAACGTGGAGACATTTACTCGCACATCGTATCGCTGAACGTACTCTGCGCGATTATTTTGCTGCGCAGTGGACTTTTCTCAAACTCGTTCACAATAGCCACGCGAACTTGAAAGGATCTCTTCTCATCCTCGACGGAACGCGAAATCAAAGGTTCGCATTTTAAGCCGCTTTAATAGATCGATGGTCAAATTGGGTTGGGAGTATCGCAAAATGAAAGAACAATCAATTACTGCGGAATATTCCTAGGTTGAAAAGTTTGTAGTAATTTTTACTATAAAATTTTCTCGGTGCACGAACCAGATATCTCTGATTGTGGTGTGAAACAATTACCCGATCAATCTCATCAGAGAACCGTAGGATAAATTTCTAGTCGGACTTGTCGCCGATCGTTTCTCTCCCCGGCACTACGCTCGGTTTCGATTACGTAATACGGTATTTGCCGACGCGCGAACGACACTTCAAGATACACGCGAGGTCGTCGACGGAACGAAAGGCTTCGCTGCGATCGACGTTGCAAAGTTAGAGCGTATTTACCGCGCGTCCAATTTAACCGACGGCTTACGCGCGCGCTGTGTGAATACTAATACACCCCTTTTATTCGAGACAAGCTGTTATTTAAGTATTTTCGATACTGCATTTATGTGTAAACGCTCGCGTGCGCTAATTACGTTTAGTTTCGCCTTTACAACGGATCGACGTAATGTTATTCGCCATTGTGGAAACGCGAAACACTGCTCCGCGCAACTTCCTACAAAGTGGGAAATTGAACTTTCTATACGAGTTGACGCGCGTATCGTATCGATTTGGCGCACTCTGAGTATTAATTACTACATTGTGATTCCCCCATTTCGCGCCGTCAAGTTGCTCGCGTTATAAGCGCGATAGCGATTATTTACACGAGACGAAACAACAGGACGGCGCTGTTATTACAATTGTCCGTAAAAGCTTATCGCGGCTTGAAATCTATATCCTTTTTTTCCCCTCTTCGTTACAAGGAAAATGCAAAATAATTCTAACACAATGCGCGCTAATCGCCAACGATATTTCCAAATGAAAAGCATTTGTCCACGAGATAATTATGTTCGCTCACACATTTTATGCCTTTGCCGTGTAGTACACACGCGAACTCCTCCATCGCGACAATAATTGTACATATATCGTGCAGTTCGCAGTTAAAAATATTCATATTTTCGACATTTTGTTAATGGCAGGTTTGCATTTCCATTTTATAACAGATCCCAATCATTATGCGATACAAAATAGGCCATTACAACGCAAATATAAGTTTCATTCGCGCAAAATATTGCGCGAATAAAAGATACTATTCATATCCGCGCGCTGATTTATCTGAATGGAGATTCATTCGCGCACAGATTCAATCCGGCCCCATTTCAATGTGGAATTTATTCAGAAATAACAGGTCGATTGAGCGAAACATTTCGATTAATTCCTTCAATCATTGCAAGGCGTTATTAATCTTCGAGCTTTGAGCGCGCGAAAGTCATCTCTTCTCCCGAATGAATGTCGAGTGCGTTGTCCTGAAACGCGATGACCGCGCTAATTTCCTATTTTGACTTTCTATATATTCTCTCGTTATGACTTCCGCTCGGATAAAAAGTCGGCGATGTGTGCAAAGCCGCGACAGATTAACCGATCAGTCCGCGATCATTATCGTGTGCCGGCAGCGAACGAGGGGAAGTTTCAGCTGCAATTATCAACGACTTTGCAAATAATCCCGGAGAGCTTTGTTATCGGGGGAGATTCGGCTCTGCGATTTAACGGCCACGTCGACGGAAGAGCGAATCAAAGTACGGACAAGCCGGCCAATCGACGGGGCTCTCAGCGCAATCGTTTACAGAGGATCGCTTTCAATGGTCCACTGATTGTACGAGTGGTCGCGCTCGGTCCCGGATTAACGACCATTCTTGGGACCGGCTCGCCAATCGCAACGACGATCGCCGGAGTATCGGCGGCTGGTTCCGTCGGGTTTCCTCGTTCGAGCGCAATTTTGTGAAAGTTTAACGAGCCCATGCTAGCCAGCTGCTCGCGCGCGAAAAGCCTGAGTTTTCCGCTTGAAAAACGAACACGGCGGAGTCGAGATTTTGAGATTTATATTGCTTTACCTGCATTATCCTTTTCCCGGAGGTTTATCCGGCGGTTATGTCGTGATTGAGGCTCGTTTCGATAGTCATTATTTGAAACTTGTCCCACGTGACATATTCAGGTTTAAATTTAGAGTTTGGTTTTCGGGTCTTTTATTTGAATCATATAATTGAGCACGTGGCATTACATTTGTAACCGCGATTCAACAAATAGCTCACACTTAACTTTAAGTTCAAATCTGAACACGTCACTTGCAATAAATCTCAAATAATGACTATTAATGAGTTTTAGGTCCGTGTTAATGGTCGTTATCTGAAACTTGTTTCATATAATATATTCAGATCCTGAATCAGAGTTAGAAATCCAAGTTTTCTAGTTGATTTATAGTTTATGTGACATTTATATTTGAAATCGAAATTCAAATGGAAAGCTCTTATCTAATTCTGAATTTATATCTCAGTATCTCGCATTTGAGGCGGTTCAACTAATGACTATTAATATGGCTTTTAAATTAGTAAAACTATTAATACTGAGCTCGGTATTAATAGTTACCGGTTGAAATCCATTTCTCTCTTTCTCTCTCTCTCCCCTCTCTTAAATCAGATGTTTATTCAGAGTTATATATCCAAGTTTTTCACTTGAATTATAATATATGTAATATTTATATTTATAATCGCTGACTCAGCTGAAAAGCTCATATCTGACTATAAATTGAAGTCTGAGTATATTACATGAGACAAGTTCCAAGTAAGGACTATTAATACAGGTCTGAGATGCATACGATAATATTCACATCGTTTACGCGATGTGTGCGTTCTATGCAATACAATACAATTGTACATCTATTGTATTAACACACTGTGTTGATAGAATATACAATATATAACATAATATGATATATTGAAAGAACATTTTTAATTCTAGGAGCAACTCGCGCTGTAACTTATCGAATACGATTAATGTCGCGATTAGAACGCTAATTGTCATCGTAGTCAAGCCGATAGATCGACGAAATCCTTCGATAAATATTCATAGAGCAAACGCGAAGCTTCGCGGAGCTGAGGACAGAGCACAGGGCGGGAGTGCGTGAGGGGAAATAATCGTGGCTCGCGCAGAAAGAGGATAGTTCGGGCGCAATTTCGTCAGAGTTTAACGAGCCTTGAGTTAGTTCCGTGCACGAAAAGTCTAAGTTTCGCCGCGGAAACGAAAACAGCCGATTTCCTCCGAGACGTTACGGAGCGCTATCACACCCCGCCGAGGAACTTGCCCCTTTTCCTCGGCTCTTTCCGCCCGTTCCATAATCCATAGCAGTGATTATGAACGAATTGTTTTGCGAACGGAGTTGTAAACTGCGACTCAACGCACTTCGGATATATTTTCGATTTGATTGCGAGCCAAAGGCAGGTGAGCGATAGCTTTGAGCCAGAGCAGAGCTTTGCGGCGCGAGGAAAACGCGAGAGGAGCCAGCGGACAGGAACGATTCTCGGGCGTTGAACAGCGTCGATATCGATTGGCGCGCGAATGGCATGAAAAATACGCGTGTACCGCTTGACACGGCGATAAATGGAATATGCCGCTTTCGGTGTAGCGACGTTTATACGTGTGACGTGATATATGTCGTCGCTCGGGCGCAGCTGATAGCGACGATTAAAGGCGACGTTTACTCACCGATAACGGTGAGGTTAACTTTGAAGTTTCTCGTCGGCGAGTTCCGAAAGTCGACCCTGCACCTGTAAACCCCCTCGTCACTCTCTCGAAGATCCGAAACTGTCAACTGCGCAGGCGGGTTAGGCCGAAAGGTCGCCCGGTGGCCCCAAAAATTCGGAGCGCTCCACAATTTTGCCTTGCCGAACTGCCGACTCCTCGCGTCGTAACTGCAACACAATCACGAAAATCGTTTATTTCAAAGAGGAGGGAAGATCTCGATTCCTACTTGAACTATCACGCTGCTGAAAGCTAGAGAATAAAAGCGCCGATTGTCGGACATGTTCCTACATCCGAATACATATGGGAATTTACCATTGTTAATCTAAAATATTTCTACAAAAAGAATTATAGTTTCTTCCATATAAATTCATTTAATTCTACTATGTTATCAAGAGTAGACTGTCAATAAGGTCTGTCTTGGACATAGTAATATAGCAAATGTTCTAGGAAAATAGTATCTAGAAAAACAGTAAATTATAAATAGTAAATAGCAAATTAATAATTATAAAAATAAAATGGGAGATAAAAATAAAATTTGCTACAAAAATAGCAAATTTAATATTTACAACCATGGCAAATTTTTAAATGGCACATTTAAAATAGTTTCTGATATAAATGGGACATATGATACGAAAGGATAGTGAATTATTACAGAATATCGATTTATTCCTCGACAAAAAAATTCCATCTCTGTTCATAAAAAAATTTTCATTTTGGCTTATCCACATGTTAGCTTGCTCTTAAAATGTTATTATTATTTTTTAAATAATTCAAAAATTTTCTATATTTTTTATGTGTAAAAATAATAAATTTTTATACTTCGACTTTCGATGAATTATTTTTAATTAATTATGTAATTAGATCATTAAATATTCTGCATTATTATAAAAATTAAGCAAATTTGGCTTTATAAATAATACTCGTTTATTGTGACATTTATATGTTACACGATGAAAGCAACGGCGATGAAACGCGAGGGACGCGAAGCTCTTTCGCTAATAGAACGAAGAGTTACGCGGAACAGCGGGATTCCCGCCGGCGATCTGATATCGCCGTCAGCCCCGAAAGACTCCGAAATAAGTTCTTATCGCGGCACTCTCTTTATCGTGCTCCGTTACTCGTTCGCAATCAGAGGGAAGTCTGTTTGCGACTGATATACTCGGTCCGACCGGCACAGACGCCGAGCTTCGCGGAGTGTCCTCGGGCCGTGCATACAAATCACGGGATTACCGCGAGAAATATAACCCACCGCACGCCGCCGAGTTAAATACCGCAGTTTCGCGCGTCACAAATAGCGACGCGACGGCGAAGAGTCTCGGCATAGCTCGGGATGCCGTCCGGCGCACGATATTCGCATTTGTCAGCCCGAAGAAAACTTTCCGCGGGACGGAGCTATTTGAAAATCTTCCGTCGCGCGCGGCCGACTGTAGAAGCGCAAGGGGTACGGGGAACAGAGTGAGACGGGGGAGGAGGCAGGGGGCGGTCGGGCTAAATAATGCGGGTTAAGTCGGCCGGGGATGAAAGTAAGCGGAGGAACGAATGGCCGACCACCAAAGTACGACGCACAATACACCCCGCGGCGCTCTTATCTGGCTTCGGCCAATTTTTCACTGAACTTTCGCAATTCGTCATAGTCGAGGAGTCCAAGAGAAAGAGAAAGAGAGGTGGGGCCCCGGGAGCTCGAGACCCAATACAGACCGAGAAGTGCACTCGACCGAGAGAGTCAGATAACCTCTTACTTCCCAGGTCGGAGCTTTCCGGAGGAGGTATAAGGTCTCGCTAAAAGAAGAAAAGCCTCACTCGCGACCGACTATATCACCAGTTGGTTCATATGTTCGCGCTGCAACCTGCCCACTTATCCCACTTATCCCAGTCTGCAGACACGATGACGATAATCTGATTTATACACTTCCCAGGCAGAAATTAACTGAGGGGGTCATGAGTATGTAGTTGCCTTAGCCACAGATGTCCCACGATAGACATGCCTTCGTAGGGCTCGGATATGGTTAAGATGTACAAATTCCGAATGGAATTTCGTGAACAGGTCGTAGATTGATGCTCAAGTGGATACCCCAAACGCTTGTTTTATTAATAGCATATATTTTTATATACTAAGGAAGAATATCCATAAAATAAAAAATATTTATTCGATGGGCAACACATTTGCTTAAATTTTTCTACTTAAATAAAACAAGCAACTACTTTCATAAAAAATAGGGCTGCCATTCATGATCATTTCAATTATGATCATGAAGTAGACATATCAAGATAGGGTTTAGTTAGATTTACAAATTTAGGCGCTAATTTGTAGAAGCGTTGAATCTCTGTGTAAGACCCGGTCTTTACAGGATCTTGATACACAAGCAAGGAGAAACTGGTGTAGACTCTTCTCTTAATCCCCGTTTAAAATTTCTACTCTAAAAGGAGCGGACACTGAAAGAGCGCGCAGAGGGTGCACGTCTATTCACCCTTACTCTTCGCTAGAAATGCTCTCTATTTCCATTACTGAAAGATCAACTGGCGGGACGCAGGTGCATCTCGCCGTCTTCGCCGTCAATTATCGGCGGGCTGCCGCGGACTCGCGCTCAAACGACTTCGTAAGTCTAATCGAGCGACGGAGTCACGGCAAAGTTGGCACGATAAGACGACGACGACAACTCGCGCCCGTCAATCGCGCGCGGCCCAAGTTTCGGCGTGTTCCTCCCTTCAGCCGGCGCGACCCTCGTTCCCGCCGGCCGCCGAGATAAATTGGATCGGTTCTTAATGAGCGCGACGAGTCGCGGACCTAGCCACAAATTTAACGCGTCAAGCTGCGGAGGGGAGCGTTGCTTCTTGCTTCTTGCAAGCGCAACGCGGCCCGGCAGCTGTGATTTACGCGGTCTACGTGAAATTAAAGAGTCCGCGAACACACGTCGGGGGTAAAAAGGTCTAATTGCGACGGACGACTGCTCCCGGGCCGCGGAGCGAGTAAATCCTTTGCCGGGGATTTTATTCGGCGAGAGGCACTGTCGTGTTATGTCGCGCGGATAATTAAGCGTGAAGGCGAGCACCGTCGTCGTCGTCGGAACGATGTTGAAAAGTGCGTCACCGCGCACTGCTGTATTGAATCATTCCGCTCTAAATATGACGTCTCATTTCTTACGTCGATCGCGCGCGATTTCGGTATCGTGATTCTTCTCAAACTGATGGAAAACACGAGGCAATCGAACGCGCGTCCACGTATCTACACTGAGAGAAACAAACATATAAGATATAGTAAATTTGTTTCCAGTGTAAGTACTAATGTAATAGCGTATTCATTTGAATCTAAATTCTTTCATTCAAATCGAATAAGAGAGATTTGTAAAATTCTTCTGTTCAAATAGAATTTAATTTAAATAGAAACAATTACTTTCATGAAGAGAGCTGAGGTTTCCTTAAGGTTTGGAGAAAATGCGTTACCTTATTTGAAAAATATTTTATATTCATATAATATGTTATTATATAATACCTATCGAATGAGTACTCATTGGTCCTTAGGTATTTTTTTTTTACTCAGTGCACGAGTGCACGTGTGTGCGTCAAGTTTAGTGATGAAATCGCGGACGGCGCATTTAGCCGTGCGTTCATGGAAATAACGGAGCGCAAAGTGAAACGTAATATTTCGTGGAAATGTAATTCATTGTAATGACAGATTTATCATCGCGCGAAATGAGAAGTTAGGAAGAGAAAAAAACCCGCGTAAACTGCGCAAATTGCTGTACGCAAATTGCACGTGAATTACACGAGGAAAGTGAGATACGTATACACACGTGTGTGTGCGTCTCTCTCCCGGCGTGGATGACATAAATTAAATTGTCGGGAACATTTCGGATGATTATTTAACGCAGCGCGATACAAAACTAATGATAATAATAATAGTCAGAATTTTGTCGCGCTTTCCGGGACGTCATGTGGAATTTTTCGGAATGATAATCCCCCCAGGGGAATTTTAATTAACACTGCCGGCTATCCATTATCGCCGTCAAAAACAGCAACTGGCGAGCGATAAAACATGTCACGATCGTATAAACCCCGTCATGCACTTTGACTGCGAGAATTTTTCCACGACATGTTCCACGTCCAGATCGTCGAAATTGCATTATTAATTCCGTTCTGACGCGGGGACATCCATTGCGTTCTGATAGAGCTTTCATTCGCGCAGTCGTATATATGGAGAGATGTTTTTATGTTATTTTACTCCACGAGAATCGTGCGCGCAAGAGATCGATTATTTTCCGAAACATACACGTAGATGTCAGTCTCGCTCCGAAAACTCATTCGCCTGTAACACTACATGTTTGACTTTCATTTTAATATTCACAACACAAAATGGTCGCGCCATTATTCCAATATTTGCAACGAGCAATTTCGTTATTCACATTACGTTGCGTACTATGCGTTCATCGAGCTCGGTTCGAAACTTTGACGGCCAATTGCGAGACGCCTGAAATTGCCGAGATGATGAAATGTTCAGCTGACGCCTCGTTACCTTCGAACCCGCAGCATCGCTTCGACGAGGTAGCACCATTATTCGCACCTCGCTTCCGTTCTGTCAGTATGCATTTTATAATTAATAGCGTCCATCTCGCGCTTTAATACCGCTAATGCGCTAGCCTAGTTCTCGTCGCGATCGTCCGGCGAGATTAGATAGCGAGACTTCAATCCGCGAATGAAGGACGGCCCGGCGGAAGGGTGGTCGACGGAAACGACGGAACTCGAGCGCGTAACGGACAGCCGCGTCAGGATGGAAAGACGGACGGAAAGTGGAATGAAAAAGGCGGCCTCTAAACAAATTAAAATAATTGCCGGGACCCATGCAGAAGCCACGCCCCAGCTTTCCTTGTGAATACAGCGCCGTTGGCGAAACGAATGTTCCGCGGAGAGCAACCGGCAGAGCACGAAGGGGTGACAAGGTGCAGAGGACGGGGGAAGGGAGTCGTAAGGGGGACTTAACCACTCTCGGGACTCTTAAAAGGAGCTTAACTTCGCGCATAAAATTAAGGCATTGTAATTGCAGACGGCGTCGCCTGCGTTCTTCTCCCTTTTTCTCCCCGGGCCGGTCCGTCCGTCCTTTCCGTTAACCCACCGCCCTCGTTGACCCTCTTCCACTACGGCGCCTCCTGGCCCTTCCAGCCGAGCCCAATCT